TTATCGATGTTGTAGCATGTGTCAGAATTTTCTTCCTTTTTAAGACTGAATAATACTCCATTGTTTGTATATTACACATTTTGTTTATCTAATTCATTCATCGATGGATACTTGAGTTGCTTTTACTTCTTGGCTATTGTGAATAATGTTGCTATGAACATGAGTGTACAAAATTTCTTTGAGATCCTGCTTTCAATTCCTCTTGGATGTATACCCAGAAGTGGAATTGCTAGATCATATGATAATTCTACTTCTAATATTTTCAGGAACTGCCATACTGTTTTCCACAGTGGCTGCACCATTTTACTTTCTCACCAACAGTGAACAAAAGTTCCAATTTCTTCACATTCTTGTCAGCACTTGTTAATTTCTGGATTTTTTTTTTTATAGTTGCCACCCTACATCCTTCTAAATATTTTAAACACTTTCTAAATGTTGCACCAAGGACAGTCTCTTGTATTCAGAAATGAGTTATGCAGCATATAATAAACAATTAAATTCTAACCTAAGTCACTTGGGGGAAGAGCTGGCTGGCTCTCTAAACTCTCTTTGGGGCTCCTGGACCCAGTCTATTAGTTTTTTTCATTTTACTCTTCCCACTTCTCTCCACAATCCTTCCATTAAGAATTCTTTGAACCTGGGGAAAATGAAATGAGTACACATTTTAGCTATACTTGCTTTCACGTTTGATTTCTCTCATGATGAGGCTGCTAACCATCTAAAAAGGGCTTAACTCATGCCATGTTACTAATTTCAAAAGATTTTTTTTCAAAAAGGATTAGGAGAAAACTCGAGATACCTGCTAAAAATTTGCAAACAAGATGACTCAGGCCCTTCTCTTATTAAGGAAGCATTTAGGATCTTTTAAAAGCACTAGTGTCATTGGTTCTGACTTGAGATAACCTGAATAGGAAAAGCCCGGGAACCAGTGCTTGGCGCTCACCTTTCAAACTCTTCACAGCCAAGACTCAGACGCCTAAATGTCTCCGGGGCACATTTGCGTGTCCAACAGCCTTACTCTCTGTGGGCACATAGCTTTGGTTTGGAACAGTCCTTTTTGGAGTTCTTTAGCTGCGCCTGAACCAGGAGTTCTGAGACGCTTGCCTAAGTGTGGGCTAAGGAGGCAGGCACTCCTGGATTCTCAGCCAGCCAGTTCCTAGCAGGGTGACTTTGAAGTAGGTTCTTAAACTCTCTGAGCTCCAGTTTCCTCATCTGTGAAACAGGAATAATACTTCCTGCATGCAGGCTTACTGTGATAATTAATGAAGCTAATGGATATACACATGCCCAGCATGACATTGGCGTAACAGGCAGTTTAAAAAACGAATAACTCATTTTATTTATTCTGTGCAGAAAAAAAGACTGGTTGATGGTCATTATCTGAAAATAAAAGTGTGAGTGTGCTTATTCTTTGAATGTGTTTTCTTAACTGTCCTTGAATTTTTGGAGAGCTCTCAACAATCAGACTTGATGGCTCATGAGTTTTCTTTATTTTTCAAAGCTACATAATTGTTCAAGAAGCATAATTAGGATTTTGGGGTTAACGATACACACTGCTATATATAAAGTAGATAACAAACAAGGACCTAGTATAGCACAGAGAACTATACTCAATATTTTGTAATAACCTATAAGGGAAAAGAATCGGAGAAAGAATACACACACACACACACACACACACACACACACACACACACTTATGTATAACTGAATCTCTTTGCTGAACACCTGAAATTAACAGTGTAAATCAACTACACTTCAATAAAAAAAATTTAAAAAGAAACATCTCTAACATCTTTTCCCAAAAAAGAAGACTCTGGAAAAGATTTCTGTTATAGTCCAAAAATTTCTTCTTAGCACAGTGTTTGTGTACATGTGTATACACACACACATTCTATTCTCTTAACTACCACCATAAAAATTATGAAGCTCCTGCATGTGTAGAACTTTTGCCAAATATTTCTAAAAATGTACTTTGATTTTCATCATCCACAGAAACCCAGTGCAGTAGCAGGAGAAGCAGGTATTATTACCCTGGTTTCACAGATGAGATTTTGAAAGGTATGTGACTTGCCCGAGACCTCAAAGACGCTAAAGTAATGGAGCCACAATTCAAACCCAGGCCTTCAGCTTCCAAATCCAATATTGTCTCTACCACATCTCACAGCCTCCCCACAGGGCCGTGCGGTGGACTGCTGGAGAGATGAATGTAAAAGAAAGCAGAGATGTAAGGCTTGAAAGCCTCTGTGGAATTTGGAGGCACTAAGCATTAGCAAACTACTGAAATGTCATGCTCAGAGAGTCTAACAAGAATTCAGTAGCGATGGGAGTATTAGAATGGCTTCAGAATTTATAGGTATTTTCTTTAAAACAAGGAAAATGCACAACACGTTCCCAGTCTCCACTTTCTCGAATGTGTTGTTCTTACGTCTCAAACACTAGATTCGTCTCCTTCTGTACACACCAGATTTATAGCTTTAGTATATTTTCTCAGTACTTCCTGCGCACACTTTCTATTTAAAAAAATCAATACTTATACCCCACATATTTAATTCTTATGCTATTGACATTTAGAAAGGATGTGAGGAGGTTTCCCTGTATCTGGCATTTTGGCTAAGAATGAATAAATAAACAAACGGAGAAATTAGTCTGGATCTACTTCCACGTGTCATACTTATTTAATATGCAGACCTTGTTCAAACCTCTAGAGCTGGCCAAGTTGAAATAACCATCTTCTAAAACAGTTGGCATTATATTTAAGGTGCAAAAAAATATTCATAATGGCTCCCCCACCAGCGAGTTTATTGTATGGAAATACCACTCCTCACATTCCAACTCTGTGTGTACATATATGAACACACAGAAGCAATTACGTGCATAAAAATTTAAATACCATTGCTTACACTAGTGAAAAGCAGAAAACATAAATTTCCAACAAAATCTGAATGGTTAAAGGCATCATAGTAGATCAAACCTGATGGAATACGGAGCAAATGCTAAATGATCATTTTGAAGAATTTGTAGCAATATGCAGTTTTTGTGGGGTTTTTTGGTAGAGGAAGAAAACTCGAAATCAAATCTACCCTCTGATTCTAACCATGAACATATGATATTTTGCATGTGGATAAAGACTTAAAATGATCATAGAAAAAGTTAAAGGGTCCCCCCACCCCTTTGGGAATCAATCAACAGTATTTGGGTAATTAACAACAAAAATAAGAAACAGAACACCTTTTGGCAGGCACTAGGTAAAATCGAGAAGAAAAACTGTAGGTTGCTCTGTCCTAACTAAAACGGGTACTGCAGACATGGGGTGATCCCAAGGACCATGTGGTGTTGCACCTGAGCCCTGACTTTGTACCACATTGGAGAAAGTCCAGAGCAATGAGTGGGAGATAGTCCAAGTCCCTCTGGGCCAAGGGCTATCCTTCATGTCATCTCAAAACTATACACACATGCTCTACATTCCATGTATCTACTAGGGCATCAAAGTCCCAGACAGCATATCTTTAAATCACCGGATCCCAAAGGGAAACCAAAATTGCATGAGAAGCGAAAATACCACACTGTGGGAAAAATAACCATTTTTGTAAGTCTTTATTTTTTAGTTGCTCCTCCCATAGTAATGCACTGAAAGGCATAACAGTTTATATTGTACAAAGCATTGGAAGAAAGTACCTCAACTTGCCAATTATTTCAAAATGAGATTACAAACAAAAGGAAAACAAATCTGGTTCCTCGATAAAGGGCAAAATAACTGAATACAGTCTGTTATTTACGTCTCTCTTTTAACATAAGGTCTGGAACACTTCATTTTACAAATAGGATTAACATGAACATAACAACGCACAAGCTTGCAGACAACCAGCATAAAATATGGGGTACAGTTTTTAATCAGGAGAATCATGCTTTCATGAAAGAAATTATAATCGTTTATACAATTGAATCAATTTCAGTATTACAAAAACTAAGTTGCATCTATTCGTATTTAGCTCATTAAGAAGGAAAACAAAACAACAACAACAAAAGGAATGTTAAGAAAAGCCAAACACCATTTGGCACTCCCATACACAGGTCGAGTCACCTTGGTCCTTGAAATTCAAAAAGGGGTGTGCCTCGGACGTCAGAAAGTAGTGGCTGACTGGAACAGTGCTATTTTAACCAACAAACAATAGTTTGCCAACAAATAAATACATGATACACGCAACACACACAAAAAAATTAAACATTAAAAAACAGTGACATGATTGTCTAAAATTAAGATGTTATTACAAGGATTTGGCAAACCTTCTATTAGCGTAGTGGTACAGCGGTACTGGTGATGAACAGGTTACTTCACTGACTTAACCTCTTTGAGCATTGAACATCCATAGTTTACAATATACACATACCCTTGTTCCCTCGTTTTAAACAATGTACTTAAAGAAGGCAAAAGTTAATGGGGAAAAAAATACTCCCTGTTATCTATAATAATCAAGTGTGCATTTCATCCAACTACTTCTGTCTTCGAAGGGTTAAATTACATAAAACTTTAACAAAGCAAGAAAATTAAATCTGTAATTAAAAGCAACTGTTCCCAATCGTGTGTCAGGTGATCTTGTACAAAAAAGGATTCAGTTTCTATGGAGTGTTCATTCGTATCAATGCTGCCATCTTAACTACTCCTCTCACCCACCCACTCCCAGGGGCAAGGTGAACGGGAAGACGCCTTCTGCCCAGCAAGTTTTTCATTTTTATTGAATCATTTTAAGTCGCATTGATCCTCCAGAAGTCAGCAGCTGCCTTTGCTGTGCAAAACAAAATATCGAGAATAAATAGTTTCTTTTTCTTTCTTTCTTTTTTTTTTTTTTTTTTAATCATTCAGTTTAAGGTCCCCAGACTCTACATGAGTGACCCTTCAGGTTTATAAGGCATTCTGCTCAGCAGTCTTTTAAATAGTCCTATGTGAAAAAGCCATGCTACCGTTGGACTTGGTCCCATTCTGGTCGACCTTGGGAATGTCATACGTGGCTTATGGACTGGATAGCACTGGATTCCGCCGCAGCCCTGGCCATACTGTGCCACACGTTGGAAGAATTGTGGGATGAAGAATGGAGGGACTCCTTGTCGGACAATGACAACATCATAGCATATGCCTGAGGTAAAAAGGAGAGACTCGGTAAATGGCATTTGAAAAACATCACTTTTCATTCAAAGGATATCTTTGGTGAATGTTACAAAGAGAAGGGACCCGGAGAAGTAGCATCCCTCACGGGTGTGTTTGGAAGAGTGCGGGACATTTTCTTGTGTTATAATGACACGGAGTTACTGCTGGCCTTCATTGCCTCGGGGCCACAAAAGTGGCACAATCTGCAGAACAAAAAATTAACGACCCAACCTAGAATGACAACAGCGCCCCCATTAAGAAACAGGGGCCATCCCCCTCCCCGACCATAACTATAATGACCATCCATCCACTGTTTATGCACATGTTCAACTCACCCCAAATATTACTGAATGCTTACAACTGAAACTGCAAATACAAATAAGAGACAGGCCTGCCTTGACAGTACTGTGGTCCAGAGGAAACAGTCCCACGGACTCCTGCACTGGATAATTGAGAGCACTGAAGGTGAAATGACTCGCCCAAAGTCACTCACCTAGAGGGAAGGAGGCATAAGTAAAACTTATTTCTGCCCAGCTTTGAATGCTTTGTCCACTTCCCCTCCACGCTTGAAGTATTCAATGCTGACACTCAAAGACCTTGAAAGTCGCTGTAAATCAAGTCGGTTCTACCAAAAAATGAAAGAAAAACACAAGACCCAACAAAGTTCTAACCCCGGTGCTCCAGTATCTGCCAGCAGAAGGCGCACAGGGGTGCCCTGTGAAGAAGTGCTCTTTCTTCCTTATTATCACGTCAAAGTCTAAATAGCTATTCAGAGAATCTCCCCATTTGCTGCCAAGTACAATATTCAAATGAAATGTTTGGTCTTGACTTAGGAGTGAACTTTTCACTGTTGATTTGTTGGTTTCATCCACTGCTAAACTTGCTTGTCAAAAATGCTGCTGAAGAGGAATCATTAAAGTCCTGCCAAAGACATTCCACCGTCGGTAAACAAAGACAAAATGCCTCCGTTGTTAGGCAGAATTTCATCTCTGGGAGTCGTGCTGAGACATGTGGCCGGTCTGTGGTTTCTTCCGTAATCATGGCATTCAGTTAGAAAATCTGCTCTCGCAGACTGATTTTGATTTGCTGGGTCATTGCTCTCAATGTACACATTTGACTTTTATGTATGCTGTTTGCCTTCCGGACCTCTACAAAATCTCAGCAGACATGTTACAAATATTTCTTAAGCATCTACTCTATGCCAGGCACTGTGCTAGGTCCCAGGGAATCAAGGATAAATAACATAGAGTCTTTGTCCTTTGTAGGGTTTAAAGTGTGGGTGAAGTGAGCGTTGAACTTTATTCCAATTACATACCCACATTTAGAGGTCAAGATGAACACTATTCTGAAATGGTTTTAACAAAACTCATTCTTTTTTTTTTTTTTTTTTAACTCATTCTGATATGTGGAAAAATAAAAGGGATTACGAGAGAAAATTTTGAAATCCTGAGGTTTTTTTTAAATTTACTTTTGCCTGCATTGGGTCTTCATTGTGGCGCGTGGGCTTTCTCTAGTTGCGGCGAGCAGGGGCTACTGTTCCTTGCGGTGCGCGGGCTTCTCATGGCGGTGGTTTCTCTTGTTGCGGAGCACGGGCTCTAGGCGCGTGGGCTTCGGTAGCTGTGGCTGGAGGGCTTAGTTGCTCCGCGGCATGTGGGATCTTTCCAGACCCGGGCTTGAACCCGTGTCCCCTACACTGGCAGGAGGATTCTTAACCAGCGTGCCACCAGGGAAGTCCCGAAATCCTGACTTTTAATCCTGGCTTTTAACCTGCCTCTATTCAGCTAGCTGCGTGACCTTGGGCAAGTTGCTTCATCTTTCAAGGTTACTTCCCTCATATGAGATGTGGATAATAGTAACAAAAACTTAGCTCCAATGGTTGTGGAGGAACCACAAGCACTAACTTACATAACGTGCTTAGCTTAGTGTCCCTGATGTAAACAGTACCTGTTATCATGAAACGAATTTTTGTAGGATAGAGTTTTTCAGGGAAAACTCTATACAGAAGGCAACCACTGTTGTATTGGTCAACTATTTTGGATTCAATCACTATAACAATCACAGAGTAAATATATGAGTTTTGAGTAAAGCATCTGAATCTATTCAGATTCTAGAAAATGATAAATATGGAATGTCTGTCTTTTGGTAATCAAAGGAAATAAACATTTTCATGCATAAGGATCAGTGCTGAGCACATAACTGACAGTTAATGACAACTGAATGAATGAATAAAGTCTCGTGAAACAAAGTCAGTTTGCAAAAAGGCATGACCATCTTCAGATTGATATATATATGACATTGTCAAGTAATAATAAAAATATGAGCTAAAATTGCAAAATCCAAGTATTTCTTGTGAAGGTAATTGTTAGCCAGGCTGGGCCGGGACTTTATATAACAAAATGCTGGTACTGAAATACATCATTTCCATTATCTTTAAGTTCCCAGGATGCTTTGCTTTCTATCACTGTGACAGTTTCAGGAATTTTCAGGTTGTGCCTTATAATGTCATAATTTGGGGTGGAATAATTAAAAGAAATTTTAGATAAAGCAAGAAAAGCTGGCTCCCCCAGTTTCTCTGATCCACTAGCAAGGAAGAACGGGAAATCAAGAGTTAAAAAAATATATAAGACACTTCTTACGGCTGTCTCCACGTGAAGATGAGATGTCTACTCTGGCTGGTTTACTTTTAATGTTAGAAAATGAAAAATTCATTTTTATCCTCATTCAGTGATAGAACAGGAAGGGATGTTAGACATCTTCTCCACCCACCCCACTTTGCAATGAGGAAATGATACCCATAGTTGTGAAGTGATGTTCTCCAGCTCATGCAGCTAGGCAACTCCAGAGTTGAGGCTGGGTGCTTTCACTTCAATTCAGAAAGAACATTTATGTTGCCTATTACCATACATGATATCTTAAGGCTTTTTATTGACTTTACTGATACTTTCAAATTTGTATTATCCCACTGGAATGTTTTCCCCACTTTAGTTGTGATGTGACCACATTTGCTGTTAAGACCAGTGCAAAACATCTCATCCCAATAAGAAATTTCCAGATGTAGGAGTTAATATGGTCACATGGTTTGATATGTCAGGCCACCTCTAAAATGAACTCTGGATCAAACAAATAGACCAAAGTGACCAACAGATATAACAACAGAAAGTTTCCTTTTTCTTTCTAAAGAAAGAAATGGACCTGAATAAACAACCTGGTTGAGTGCAGATGTCAAGTAGAAAGGACTGACTTCCCTTTTTTGTGAAAAAAGAACTGAGGCTATGTTCAGTGGCATTTATAGATCCTTAAATGGATTTATTTTGGTCACCATAGTGCTGATAGATTGCTATAGACCTCAATGAACTTGGGTACCACTCATTCATTCATTCATTCATTCAATAAAAATCGATAGGGTTTATTTCCAGGTTTGCCATTAAGTTGCTACAGACTTTTGGCAATTCATCTCTGACCCTCTGTTTACTCCTAAATTCTATCATTAGATGATTTGTTTATTAATTATGTACAGTAAGAAACAAAAATAGAGGACAGAATTCACTTTCCAAAAATCTCAAAATGGAATTAGGTTGACAAAAATTATAGACACGAAGCATTAGAAAATAATTCTGAAGTAATATACAAATAGGTGCAAGCGAACATTGTGGACCCTCTATACAAAGGCGATGTAATTGCAAAGGAAAGGGAAGATTATTGGAGGTCAGGGTTTGACACAGAAATTTCTGTGCAGAATCCAGTCATATTAATTGCTGTAGGGGTTGACTATTTTGGATTCGGTCATAGACAAAGATCTGAACGTTTTGAGTAAAGCATCTGAGCCTGCTCAGATTCTAGAACATTGCAAAGAGTATCTGCCTTTGGTGTCAAAGGCACAATGTCATCAGGATGCTATACTGCAGGAGAGTATGTACCTGTGATTTGGACTTTCTGTGTAACGGCTGTTTAAGTTCCTCTGGCACATGGGAAGCACTGAAAGAAGACACCTCAGCTTCAGTATATTGATTATCTTCCATTTTCCTCATTTTGAGGCTATCTGTGAAGTGCCTTATATGATCTAGAGCAGAAAGTCCAGTTTTATATTCTTCCTCTTTATACCTAAAATGAATCAATGGGAAAGCACAGAGGGTTTTTTTTTTTCTTTTTCAGCTTGATATCCAACCAAATCACTTTTCATTTGAGTCTATACACTTGTCAAACATATTATATTTGCAGTAGAAAGTAGCCTGCATCAATTCTTGGGTTCTTTAAAAAGCTTACAAATATTCTATCTTATAAATATATTTCTTTTCAGATTTTTCATGACTAAAGCAAGAGTATATTTGAGATAAAGAATTCAAGTCAATGACATGGGAAGTCAGCAATGCAGTGGAGACAGAATTCATATGTTTATAATTTCCATTTAAAATAAAGCCAGTTACGATTATACTCGTTTGGCACCAATTATCCCTATGAAAGTATAATATTCCCATCAATTTAACTATTGGGCTAATTTTTTTCCATTTAAATATCTATCATCTATATAGATTCCAAATATATCAAGTAAAGTGAAATTTATCTCAATAATATTTGAATAATAACACACCAGATAAATTGAATAAATTAGATAATGTTGAAATCTCTATTTTTCTTTGGGCAGAAATAGGTAGAGTCTAAATAAGTGATTGTGTACTTGTGTAGCTTTCATTTACCCTTCCTTCCTCAGGTTAATCAGAGTTCCACAAATACTGATGTATTTTTATGCTTGCGGATTATGTTGATGGCCACTTTGTTTCCATCTTTTAAAAATTAATCCACTGTGTATGCCTTGCTAATTCAAGTTTAGTTTTTATAATTTATTGCTCGCAAATTGCTTATCACCTGGAATAGTGCACTAATGGAAGAACAGAGCAGCAGG